GCTGCTCTCGGGTAGTCGGTGTGCTGACATAAAGCCGTGCTCGCAAGCAGCGAATTAACCAAGTAATTCATCAGAAGCTGCTGCGCGTACAGGAACGACGAGGAACGTTACTAATCACTGTTAAAAGCCGTGTATTAAATACATATGGAAACCCCCTGTGCACTAAAAGCAGCCGTGCTGCAGCCCCGCCCCACCTCAGGTGACTCCCCACGTCCAGGTACCTCTTGGTGAAGATTTATCTCCTCGCTGCCAACAGCACACGGGAGCAGTTTTTGCTCACGGGGTGGTTTATCTGTCTCCATCCTTTAGGTTGCCTGGGATGAACGGAAAAAGCATCTCTCAAATCCTGTGCAGGTTGCTCAGAGGAGTGAACCTTTCACTACCATTTTCTAGAGATAAAGTCTGACCACATGGGAAGAAGCTGCTTGCTGAACGTGGCACTGTTCTGACAGGTGTCCATGTGGGCTCTGGGAATCTCCCTGTCAGGAGGTGAAATGACAACACTGTCACCCCTGTGAGGCACTGAGAAAAGCAGAAGGCAGTCTGTAGGTATAAACTAGAAAAATCTAGGCTGAGATTAATTACAAAATAAAGTTAGACTTCTCCCTTCCTCAGCAGTTTTAATTCAAATAGAGAGTTTCTCTTCCTTCTCCCAAGGAACTCCTGGCACTCGTGGCCCTTAGCCCGCTTGCTTTAACACATTTCAGCAACTATTTCATGTGGTAGCGTATGTTTAAAAATTTTCTTCCTTTACAGATCAAGCCTTGTTCAGAGCTCTCGTTTCCTGTGAAGATCTACTTCTGTGTGACTATTTTGTCCCTGCTGAGTGTGCTGGGGCTCACCATCGAGACCCTCGTGCGCCAGAGCGAGGAGGATTTCACCGTGTCTCTCATCCAGCTGGTCGGAGTCGGTAAGAACGCGCCCTTTGCATCTCAGCACACAGCCCTTCCTCCCCAGGGTGGCAGTGTTCTGTGGGGCAGCTGTGGCAGTGCAGTGCTTGCAGGCTTGATGTCAGACCCACTGAATGTCCAGCAGGAAGAGCTCGCTGTTTGTGTTGATGGCTGTGCAGCTCAGAGGTACAGCTCCTGACCTGGGCCGTGCTTCTGCCTCAGCTGCAGCTGGTCTCAGGCACCTTCCACGCTGCAAGAAACCACCACACGTACACAGTTTGGTCTGAAACAAGAAAATGTTAAGGATCTCCCTGTGTTAAGTTCCTGCAAGGATGTTGCTTCACCTGAATTATTTCAATAAAATCAAATAAGGACTTAATTTTTTTTTAAAAAGCTCTTTCGTGTAATAATTTTTATCCTGGAAGCACAATCCAGACTTCCTGGGGTATTTCCAATTAGAGCCTCAATAGTTCATATTCCCAAGTCCCTTTGTATTAAATAGAAATTAAACTTGACAATAAACACAGCCATGAGTATTTTAGGAAGTCCTCTTCAGAGGCTTTAGCAGGTCTTGGCTGTTGGCTCACTGTCCTAAACAGCGTAGGAAAGAGCAGCCTGTGAGTGTAACACCTTGTGTGTGAGGAGGACACACTCATCATGAGCAGTCATTGCTTTCATGCTTTCACCCTGAGGGAACAAACCCAGCAGCTTTGTTCCAGATTCTATAGTTAGACACATACAAACAATACTTTTATTCCAAAACTTGGGTTTGATGAGCAGCTTTTCACACAGGACTCAGCACAGCAACAAAAATTGCAGTGTTGGAACAGGCTGTGGGTGCCCATCTGTCCCACGGGTGGTGTTGGCCATGGTTGTTTTGTGCTTCAGAGAAAGCTGAAGAACCTTCATCATAAACCAAACCAATCAGGTGATGTGGTAAATGGGAAGTTGAAAGCATGCTTGCTAATGTTTTCCCTCCCCTACCTTTGGTTGATACTAATTTGTACTCTGTGCCACGACACACAGCTGGAAGAAGGGCACACCTTTCACAAACCTCTGCTTTAAATTGGGGGAAAATGGTATATTTTTAACACATTCCTTCAGATTGCAAGGTTTTAATGTAAGCAGAAGTTGTTTCAACATATTAGTAAAGATAACATAATTCAAGGAACATGTTAAAACTATGATTGGCTTACCTGGAGACTTTAAGCTGTGTAAGCTAACGTGCATAAACATGTCTTCTGTAGGGCAGACCAAGCCTGACAGAAGTGATAATAGTTCTTTAAAGAAGAACAGATGCTCTGGCTGTAACAATCCCTTGGATTTACCACTAGATATTTAGCTTGGGTTTGGGATTTAACTTGCTAAAAAACGTTCACTTACCAAAACCAAGGGGATGTCCTTTATTTCAGAAACAGATGTATGCTATCTCTGCAAGAATTGCCATGCTCAGAAAAAAAGTTTATTTTCTAATTATTTGCACAGACTTCTGATGTAGCAGATCGATTTGCAAAACAAGGAAATACCATCTTAAATCTTCCAGGTCTTCCTGAGGTCATAAGCATGCCAAAAAAAAACCCAAATCACATGATTCACTTTGTAATTTCCCAGTCATTTTCAGTTTTCTCAGTCACTGCTAATAAAGTGAAAAAGGAAGTTCCTTCACCAGCAGGTTTGTTTAAAGAGACGGAAGTTGTTATGTTACTTTGAGAACTTCTACAGCTCTTTGTCCCCATGTTGCAACCTATTAAAAACAGGTATTTCCATGTGTGGAATCCAGGAAGCAGCCCTCTGGAAAAAGAAATCTATTATTACTTTGTCTGTGGTAAAAATTAATGCATGTTTGCAGGAGCATCCTATATACACACAGACCACCAAATCCTGTTTTTATGGAAGGAAAGCCTTTTCCTTATTGAAGCTCTGTCAAAACAGCTTAGAGTCCAACAGTGAGAGCTAACTGTGGCCTTAAGAGCAGTGGGGTTGGATGGGTTTTATAAGAACATAACTCAAAACTTTCCCAAAACAGTCCTTTCTGGACTGTAGTTCACAGGGTGGGGCGTTCCAAAATTTCCACAACAAAAATAAACTTGGGAATCCCTTGGGAATCCAGTCTGCCCAAGCTGCATTCAAAGCACAAGCCATGTGTGGGGGTCAGAACCACACAATGCTGCAGAGGTTTGTGTATGAGGAATAAATTGCTTGTTGGTCTTTTGAATTACTCTCCCTGGGAAGATTGTGTCATTTCAGTTCTTTAACAGAAGGGGTGTTGCTTCATTTAGTTCAAATAACAGTATTCAACATAAGATTCAATCCAGTATTAATAGAATAACATACCACAGCTGCTGATTAATTTGGATAGCCAATATGTTGCCATTTTCAAAGTGTTACTTCACGGGTCATTTAAAAAGCTAACAGATTATTTCATTTCTTGCATGCTGAACACAGGGTGGACTGCAGATTGTAGGGATCTGATTCGGGCTCCTTGGTAAGGATGAAGATAGAGCTGAAGTTACAGGGTCTTGGTGCTTCCATTTTGTCATTGGGATCAAGCCCATGGGGAAACTGCAGCATGTGCAGGCTGAGCTCCCCTGGTCACTGAGCTCCCTTGGTCACTGAGCTCCCCTGGTCACTGAGCTCTGCTTCTCCTCCCCAGTGTTCTGTGTGTACTACGTGACGAGGGGGATCCTGCAGGAGAACCGCCAGGAGCTGGTGGTCTTTGTGCTCTCCATCTTGCTCGTCATGTTCCGCTCCGTTGTCAACTTCACCCTTCTCTCTGCTGAGCAAAAGCCAAAACTCCTGGTCAGTCCCCTGCTTTTAACTGACTTTGCTTTTCTCCATGTCTTGGATTTGGAAATCTTAGAAAGGCGGGACATCTGTGATAAGGGCACTGATAAGAGAGACAAGTCAGGCTGAATTATTCCTACCATGGAGTAACAGAGCCTGCACCTCCACAACTGCCTGTCTGTTTTTCTGAGCTGTTCTGTGGATTTCTTTATGGCAGCATCTGAAAGCAGAGTAAATATCAACTCATTTACTCACAGGATTAGTGCAGAAGATATTCTTCACCTACTCTGCTTCAGATTTCTGTCTGTAAAATGACTGGCCTGAAGTCATGTAAATCTAACCTACAAGCAGAACTCATAAGTGGAATCTCAAGCCTGTATGCAAGGGTGTAGCCATCAGTCCTACTGCTCCCTCAGCACAGCCACCTGTTTTTATGAGTTACAGTAACCTGCAGCAAGGAAACAAAAAGATATGATATGCTGGGGGAGCTGTTGCCATTGCAGATGACTTGTTTGCATTTCATAACAAGAAAATCTAGTATACAAGGATTGTAATTCTATGCACTACTAAGCTTTGTAGTTATATTGTAGGATTTGTAGTTAAAGATTTGTAGGAGAACTGAAGTCCTTCCCTTTTGTGGTCACACACTCACCATGACAGTGAGAAGGAGGTTCCTTGCTGTGCACTCCAAAGGTTGTTCTTCAATAGAAGAGATGGCAAGCTAGGAAGAAGTAGCAAAACAGAATTTGTTTATTCAATTTACATATCAGTTGTACAATGTAGTTAAACATACCTACAGCAAACTGAGTTGTATGAGTCAATAAGGAACAGGCATCAAAGAGATTCAAATTACTTTATGGTACAAATCCCAGTCACGAGTTTATATATTAAACAAGAACCTTAAAGTAAAGCCTGGTATAGAAGATGTACTATAAAGGACTTCTTTTTACTGTTATAAAAAGTAGCTTGTAATACTGTAACTCCTGCTTCCTGAACAAAATTTCTGAGCCAGAATCAGACATACTACTATAAATATTCTCATAACAATGTAATTATGAAGGATGTTTTGCCACTTCAGCCATCTTTAAAGCAGCAGACATTTTGTGTGAATGACAGCAAAGTTGTGGACACAGCTCAGACAAAACCAATGTTTTCTGAAATTTAGTAATTCAAAATAACCCCCTGTTCCCCCTGAAACCAATGGGGAAGATTCCCACCAGTTGGTTTATGCTGTACAAGAAGCTTAGAGCCAGTCTCTCAGATAAAGCTGTTTCTTCAAACCATATGACACAACCTCAAACAAAACCTTACTAAAAGTTGGCATGAACTTACACAGAGTGCAAAGGCTTTGTTTCTCTTAAGAGCTGTAAAACTGCTACACTGAGGGTAATGTAAACCAAAATAGCCAGCCTGAGTTACAGTTATTACCATGCAGTTGCAACAAGTGGCAAAAATCATGGCCTGGGTTTTGCCACTTAACAGTGTGGCAAACAGTCCTCTTTAACTGTTGTCTATTAAAAAGCTTTTAATAGGCAGCCTGGTTCTCCTCACTCCTTTATTCTTTTATTTCCAATTCAAAGATCTCAGGTTGAAGACTGCCCCTGTTTTGGCATGGCAAATCACATCCTCATTTCTCTTTCCCATCAGGCCCGCTTCATTCTGATCCTCTTGGTTGGCTCCTTTGATGTGATCTGTGCCATCATCCTCATCCAGAGTCAGAGCATGATGGCCTTCCGTGTGGGTGGGGCTCTGGAGAGCCTGCAGTCCCAGTACTTCATGCTGAACCTCTGTTTTTCCATGCTGACCTTTGATCTCCAGGCACAGGTACAGAACTTTCTCCCCCTGGGTTCCCTTTTTTCCCTCCTGTTGAGAGTATCTTAGACTAGCTGAGCTGAGGTAGTAACTTTCTAGAGCAATCTTACTGATACCTGACTTTTTAGGTAAGATTAGCTTAATAATGGTCATTTCTCCACGTGTCTGCTTTAGGGAAGCTTAGTTAAAACCCATAAAAATGACTTGACATGTATTTTATCAGTCATACCCAAAAGGAGAACTGAAACTTACTTTTGGGAAGTTTGTCCATAAAAACAATTGCCTCCCGAAACTCCTCCTCAGCCTGGGCTCCTAAATTGAGAAAGGTTATCACTGCACAACATCTCAGCTGACAGTCTCCTGCTTTCCAGCCATCGAGCTGCCTCCTGCCTTTGGGGAGGTGATGCTGGGATGGGAGTGGGGGCCCTGCCCCAGCTGGGCAGGCAGGGTGAGACAGCAGCCTGCAGTTACAGCTGAGTGAAGTGAAGCCAAGATCTGTTCAGGCAGAGTTTGTATTCCTGTACACTGCCCTCCACTCTGTATGACCCTGTCTTACCTTACACTTTATCTGGAGCCCATCTTACTGCCTTCCCTGTTCTTTGTTGTTGCCAGTGGCAGACAGGGAAGTGCATCTGTCCTTATATCCCATTTCACACTGCCTGTCAGTTTCTGAGGAAAAATTTTAGCCTTTAGACCTGGACCAAACTTACCATTGCTGGGAGTTTGTGTCAGGGGCTGCATAGTCTCAAACTAATAATTTTACCAAACCTTTGCCTCTTTCAGCTCTGCTTGTGTATCCTGCTGATCAGCCTGCATGAGATCACCCTTCTGCATAACATCATCTCAGCAACAGGGGTTCTTTGGGCCTGCCTGAAGGTGACCATTAGCATCATCGCAGTAAGTGTTGAGCTAACAGCAGCACTGGTGAGGTTACCCAGCTCCTGAGACTGCAGGTCCTCACCCTGAGCAGTTAGCACAGCCTGGGGAGTCACAGCCACCCCCTTCTACCTAATACTGCTAAGTGGAAGGGAGCCAGAATGAACCCCAGCAGAAAACAACAGCACAAACCATAGTGACATCAGGTCTCTTACAAACCTGTCCCTCAGCAGAGTCTACAGGATGAAACCACACTATCATTGATTTCTGAGGGACACTCTTTTATTCTCAGTCCTTGATTGCCTACTTTAATCAAATCTATAGTCATAGAATCTTCAATATTTCTACCTCTCTGACAATGTTAGGTGAAACTAGTTATTATGGAGATGAATAGAGGGACACAGGGAGACAGTGTAGGCTAAATCCTGAGGAAAGCACACCAGAAAGATAAGTGGTCATGGATGGGGGCAGCTGCTGTAAAGGTGAGGGAGTTTTCAGGTTAGCATAAAGATTTGTGAACCTGAAGTGTGTAGTTTTTCATGTCACTCAGACTGAACTTTCTCTGAAGTGTCAAGAGCTCTGTTCCAAGAGTGTTTGCAGAACTGGGGCCAAAGTACATCAGATGGGTGAGTCTTTTATAACCAGGAAGGAGTTTAGGGGGTTTTAGTTTTGTTGGGGTTTTTTTAGGCTCCTTGAGTATTTACTTTAGCCATTCAAATTCTGGACAGCTGAAATACAGCCTTCCAAGTGTTTTGAGTGCTTTCCTTGCTGAAAATGGAATTAGCACCAAGGAGTGTGCTTTTTAAATACACTGGTGACTGTAGGTGAATACATGCACAATCATCTTTCTCCTGGATTTTGGACTGTTGTGGCCACCAACAGCTATCCAGCAGGAGAAAATGGAAAGGACTGTGGCTGTGGCACTTAGAAATGTGGATAGGGACCTTAAGTAACTTGGTGTCCTCCTGGGAGCTTCTTATATACTTTTGTGCGTCACTGGATCATTGCTTTCAGCTGAATTTTATCAGGTGTGAGAAGAAGGGAGTGATCAGAACCACGCCTGTCTTACTGCTACGATTAAAATTTAAACCTTTCAGCTACTTTTCCCCCACTATCAGAAACAAAGTTGATCTGACCAGTTGCTGTTCACAGATCATGAGTTCTTTGCTTCTCCTTGGTTTGCCTCTAGGCATTAAGAGAAGCACTGTGTCTTTTAAGAAAGTGGTGCTTCAGCTAGAGGGTCTCATGTCTTAACATCCATGATATTCTTTATGCTTTCATCAACAGCAAACGTGTTTCTCAATAGCTGAGCTAATAACAGTGGATGCCTTAGGGCTAAGCACACATTCATGCCCTTTGCACAAAACTGTCTATGTTAGAATGACTTGAAAGCTGCTTTTTACCCTGTCTAGGTACCTTCCTGACTTCTCTACTGGAAGAAAAGTTAACAGCTTCATGTCTAACTAAAAAATAGGAAATGTAAAATTAATGAAAAAAAAAAAAAGTAGTGTTTTATTTCAATAAGTGGCAGCACTGCAGGGCAACAGCAGCTTAGGAAAGGTGGATACATTTCATGAGTCTGGTAGCTTTGCATCCAAGGAAAAAATGATTCTGTCTCAGCCTAGAGTGTGTGGACAGTTTGACAGGGGGGTGACAATAGGAATTCCTTTTCCTTACCCTGCTCAGACAGGTTTTTCACAGCCAGCTTCTTGCAGATGATGCAGCAGTAGAGAAACTTATCATCATCTTGCTCGCTGCTCTCAGGAACTGTACCTGCTGTGAGGCTGTTAGGAAAGGAAGGTCTGGAGACAGGTAACCCACCAGAAAGCCTAAGCACAACAGAAGGGAAAGCTTGGAAATGCCTCATGCACAGTCCTTTCTGGTAGCTGCAGTACCTGAGGGCACAGCTCAGCTTCACACTCCCCAATTCCTGAGTCAAGGCACATGCCATTTCACAAGGCATTTTTTCTATTTTCACTATTTTTCTTCAATTTATTTACATGCTCCCCTATTTACTGTAGTGGATTTGTTTTTTCTATCACCATTACTTATTTTCTCTCTTTTCTGCCATTAATTACTAATCCTCTCCACCTTCTCTTGTTTCTCAGACTTTGTTTTCCTTTCCCTTTTGGTCTCACCCTAAGAGAAACATATGCAGTGCCACAGAAAATGGAGACAGTGAGAACAGACCATCTCCCATAGGGTAGGGACAGTGCCCTTAGTGCTTCAGCAGAGGTTCATGTGTGGACTACCACAGAAGGATCAGTTTTGGGTTTGGGGGGGAACCTGTGCTTGATCAGACACATGAAATCTTATCATAGCACTGCCCCAGTCACTGCTTTCATTCCCAGTGACTCAGCTGGTTTTCTTTCCTTTGCTCAGACCTGCCTTTCCAGTTTAAGACTGCTGAAAGTTGCTACCTGCTGGAAAGCAGTCCGTCGTCTCTTCTTTCCCAAGTCCCAGGGTTAATTGTGAAACAAAAGGCTTTCTGACAGCTAAATCCTCTTGCTTCTCCCACATTTTAGCTCTCAGTGACTTCTCTGTAGTAGAAACAAAGGTGGAAAAAAAAGTCACAGAGCATTTTCAGTCTGTTAGCTATGAAAACATTAGTCTGTTAAGAGAAAAATCTGAGTGTACCCAAAGAAAGATTCCATCAGCTTATATACAACTTAGAATAGTCAGCTTTTCTCCATTTAAGCTAGCTGGGAGTTGTCCTGTAAGTATTAGAAGGCAGAGCTCAAGAGGATTGCAAGATGGCTCAAATCACATTCAGATGTCAGGATGCATCCATGAAATAACCAGTTTTGATTTCACCAACATCACTCCTGGCCCAGCTCTTTCCTGCTAAGAAACCACAGGTAGAGAAGGCAAAGAGCAAAGTTACAACAGAGAACTCAGCTAGACCAACACTTGAAATGCCATTGAAAAATCAGCTACATATAGCCTATATAGAGCATATAGCCCTGAGTTATAAAGCTGTATGTATCTCATCTTATTTTACAGATTCTAAAAGAACTGAAACCTCTAGTGTGGATTTTTCTGAGTCAGAACATACCTGAAGTAGCTTATCTCATCTACCTGCTCTACACGGTAATTCATCAGACTTCACTCACTCAGTAATGGGGCACAAGGCCTAAGGCCTCCTCCTCTTCATTGTGGACCCTTGGGCCCAAAACATGGTGCCTCATTCCTGAGCATACCCCTTCATTGCAGCTCCTGTTAGAATCAATGAGAGCAGCAGGCACGTCCAGCCTCTTCAGGATCAACTTTTCAAGCCAGGAACCATGTCAAATTGCTCTTGAACTGATTAGTTAGAGGGAGGGGCCCTGGAACTCTCTGCAGCTGGCAAAGTGTCCAGAATGATTAGGGAAAGATGAAACAAAATCTTCCCAGTACAAGACACACCGCTCCTCAAAAATGCCTCCCATCCTTCACAAGAACTCTGAAGTGGTGCCAGAGCATTTGACCATCTCCAGGACCTCAAGTCATTGTATCTTCAAGAATGTCTTAGGCAGTACCCCCAGCTGTCAGTCCTGATGTAGCCAAAACAAGAGACAGTGCAAGCCCAACAAATTCCAGTATTAGGCATTTTTTTGGCACTGTAATGGCAATAAATCACTTATCACTGTGGCACCTCCCACAACACATGTGAAAGGAGGTAAGGAGGAAGGGCAAGAGAAAGCAAACTGTTCATCATGGGAAGGGCTCGAATGCTGCTAGCAGCCAGTGTTTCTCATTCTTCATGGAAATAGTCTCCAGATACTGATAGAAGTCCAGTGCCTGCAGTCATCCAGGTCCTTGGGGTTCTATTCATTAAATTCTGCAGTCAAATTGGGCTCCTCCAATTATTCACAGGCCTGTTTGATCTGGCAGAGCACGGAAGGACCACACACTTGTCTTTGGTGGCTGTGCTTCATTTGTATTGCACTTGGGAAGAAACTAAGATAAAAGATGAAGTCTGGTTTCTTTAGCTTAATTGTTTGGTTTTTTTCCAATCTGGGCACAATACTGTTAAGTCCAGTGCCTGCAGTCATCTAGGTCCTTGGGGTTCTATTCATTAAATTCTGCAGTCAAATTGGGCTCCTCCAATTATTCACAGGCCTGTTTGATCTGGCAGAGCACGGAAGGACCACACACTTGTCTTTGGTGGCTGTGCTTCATTTGTATTGCACTTGGGAAGAAACTAAGATAAAAGATGAAGTCTGGTTTCTTTATCTCTAGCTTAATTGTTTGTTTTTTTTCCAATCTGGGCATAATACTGTTTCCATCTGACCTGAGTGATGCAGAAATGAGAAGGGTTAATGCATTTAGCTAGTCAGTGTGCAGCCAGGGATCATTCATCAGGAAAAGGAGACAGTTTCAAAGTGACCAGGTTTCCCCCCTGCCCAGTTATCTACTGACTTCTTACAGAAATTTAGTGGTTGATTGCATTTTATGGCTTCAGGGTTCTGTGGCACTGGGTGTTGATTGTTTTATGTCTCTGTTTTCCTGCAGGTGATAAAGGAGTGGGGCAAAGGGAGTTCTTATACTCTAGAAGCTGCTTTCATTACTGGCTCTTGCATTTCTGTTGCAATAAAATCTGTTTTGTTTTGGGCACTGATTCACGTCTACCGCAGCTTTGGGCAAGGGCTCAGAGAAAGAAGTAAGTACTTAAAAAGGTTAACTTAGCTATGAAGGTTGTAGCTTATTGTATCACAGCCACAATTAAGTAGAGAGCTTGACAAGCCAGGAAAGCAGTTACAGACAGTCACAGGGAAGACAGATCCTAATGACATCAAGCACTACTGCAGCCTCATCAATGACTGGCCTGGCACAGTTCAGAAGCTTGGATGGAACATGGGTGATTTCCCTCTGAAGAAAACTGACTAGTCAAAGATGCTTCCAAACTGGTCAAGCAGGAGCTGGAGCAACCTGGTGTAGTGGGAGGTGTCCCTGCCCATGGCAAGGGGTTGGAACTGGATGATCTTTAAGGTCCCTTCCAGCCCAAACCATTCTATGATTCTATGCAATCCAGAAAGCAGACCTGTGTGGAAATAGGTCCCCTTTACAAGATACATGGCACTGTCAGTACAGCACTGGTGTTGACTGATCTTCCTTTCTCCCCACAGTGTTTTCTTCCTATGGAAGGATTGACTCCTGAGCATCCCCCTCGTGTTCCAATGCAGCTCTTACAGAGTGAAATCCTAGCCAGGGAGGTTCTGATCAAGGACTTGTGTTCAGAAGTGCATTTCACAGAGGCAGAGGAAGTTGCTCAGAAAAAAGGTCTATGCATTTCTTGGCTGGTATTGTGCTAGGGAACTACAGCAGTGCAGCTGGTAACTTAGTTGAAAAAGCAAAGTGGGCTCGGGAAATGAACAGTAATCCTCCCAATTCAGTGAGTTTTGCTGACAGGACAATGCATCTTTCACTCCTTGTTTTCCTGATGTTGCTTTGTAACTGCAGGAGGTTCACAACATGCATGTGAGTAGAGAATGTTGTTCATATAAATGCTGTTTCTCTGGCTATACACAAACATAATGAACTAATTTGCACACCCCTCTTACCCACCCGAGTCTGGCTGCCCTGCCCTCCTTTCTCTACTCAGATCTGATGATGAAAAGCCCCAGAGCTGTTTTGATGACAGCTCTATCCCCTGGTCTCCACTATGGCTGTGTGATGGCTTAACTCCAACAGAATGGCTGGGGCTTTTGTACCTCCACTGACTTCAGAATATTTCAATTATTTTAATTTATTTTTTCTTTAATCCCAGCTACACAATGTAACCTCCCAGCTTCCCATAGCATATTAACCAACGTGCCACTTCATACACCAGGGTGACTCTTGAACTAAGCCTTTAATAATGTAATTTGAAAGTTTGGTATTTTACTGATTGGAACCTTTAGCTACTGGCTATTTTTTAATAAAGTATAAACCCAGTCTGTGCATGGATGATTATTTCTTACATCAACAGCAGGAGTTCAGTGGGAAGCCTGTCTAGAAACTGGGTGTGGAAGAGGCTGGAATTCACATGTGCTGTGAACATTGCCACCACACTCCTCCTCAGATACCTCTTTAACTTGCAGGTATCCATACACTGCAAGAAGTAGCTAAAACAGTTTATTGCACCTGATTAGGGAAATCTACAAGGATGATCTCAAACCTTCTATTAAAAAATATTTCTCTCACTCCTAGTCTTCTAAACTTGAAAGAAATCTAGTTTGTAGACAGCACCGTGGAGGCATGAAGGGGTTAAATGTCTCTGGTCAGACTGTGTCCAGCTGACAATATCCAGAGAAAGCACCAGAGCACCAGCTGATGACTCTGACTTCATTTCACAAGTCAAAATGTGACCATGAATTGTTGCTGAGATGCAGGAACACAATTAGGCATATTCAGTCCTTTTCTAAAACAAGCCAACATGCAGGTCTTGCCTAGAGCAGGACCAGTGAAGGAATCTTGCATCTTGCAGTAGGCCTGTACCTGTCATGATTAGCTGAAGGAAGTAGGCTTGTGCTGTGCTCCTTTGAGCTTCACAGCAAGGAGATGGCAGAAACAACTGTAACATTAAAAGGAAAAAAGTTGTCATTGCATTCAGATGCTAATTTCCCCAAGAGCAGAAATGTTTGGTTCTGCTTGGAAGAAATAATCTTCACATTTTCACAGAAAAATGTTATTTCTGACCTAAGGTATTACTAAATTCCTGTGGAAATCTCCCTGTTCTTTTTCACAAGGTCTTAAAGATAATGCTTGTGCAGGTAAGAGCTACTAGATTGCTAAGTTTCCTGATACAAATCCTGTTTTAATGTATAGACAACATCTCTGTCCTAGTCTAGATGGAAGCACTTCATTTTGTGCCTAGCCACTCCAATGTTGCATGTAGACAATCATTAAACCAGCTGGTTCAGACATCCAGCTTTATATTTTCTATTAGTACCACAGGAGATGAATCCAGCTAAATCCAAATTTATCCCAGTTTGGGATAAATCCAAAGTTACTCATCACATTTTTTATTGGTATTTGTCAATAGAAGGGGAAGGCAATGGGTACAGATGAAGCTAAACTGAACAGAAGCTACTGCTCTGCATGTCATCAAGAACTTCCCCTGGCAAAAGGATTTAGCAAGTTTTACCCACAACCACATGCAAAAAGATTTCAGTTTTAGGTAATTTGTGCAAATTCTTTTTCTGACACCTAAAAAATACACATTTTCCTTTCTTTGATAAACTCTCTTCTCCATGCTATATGAGAAATCTCTCAAAACCAGCACGTAGAGAGGCTACTTTTTGGTCACAGTGTGCAAAGGCAAGGATAGAATGGGCATTTAAATGACATTTTCAACCTTAAATTTACGAGGTATCCAAATCCTCTGACATTATCTCAGATAATTGCATTTATCTATTTCTTCCCTCATTTCTTTTACTCTTGAGCCCTCAAAAAAGTAGTTAATGCAGCCCCTCTGGTTGTATGGAAGATCAGTTTCAATTTGCCCAGAAAATCTTTTATTTTGAAACTTTGGGGAAAAGACTGGTATCACAAATATACACCTGGAAAAGCCTCAGATGTACTTCTAGAAAACAGATGCTCCTGTCCCATGAGACAATGTACCAAAACCCCACAGTGGACTTTTGCCTCCCAAGCAAGGAATTGTGTGTACCTCAGTTTATGCTGTCGACAGTCAAAGTGCTGCTTCACAAATCCAGCTTTACAAAAAGTTTTTATTGAAAGAATTGAAAAATAGTTGTTTTCAACAATATTTAAAACAAGTTTTCAAAGCATTAACAATATGTAACAGGATTTTTCTTTTAAAAATTCAGTATGCTGCTTTGTTCCACACTACATCAGCTCTTAGTAACTTCTTAAACTCTCTACTGGAGAATTTTTTAGTTTTCTTGTTTTAGAAACCAAATTAATTTCCCAGCTTCCATTTTGGCCCTTTGTAGCCTGGAAAGGATTTGTAGGTACAGTGACATTTTCAAACCCTTATATTAGATACAGTGCTGTTAATCAGCAACCCCTCCTTCACTAGCAGAATTTGAACAAGTTACTTTTAGCAACCTACCTCAATTAAATGACAATATTTTACTGCCAATATACCCAAGTCTGCATTACAGCTTTTTTTTCTGGTTCAGCTGTGGTGTGAACAGAAGTTACCCACACTTTAAGCAGTTAAATATCCAAACTTTGAGTGCTGCTTAAACCTCACTAGCCTGCTTCTGAGTGGGTGGTTTGTGGCTTAAAGGCCTCGAAGAGGGACTTTGTACAGTTAGATAAATTTGTAACGTATTAACAAAATTTGGGTTGTGTTTTAATATAAAGCAGCTAGTACAACTGGAATCAATGCAGCTTTCTGAAGAAAAAGCAGAGACTAAAGTCATCAGTGACTTTCTTTCCTTCAGTCCTTTCCTAGCTCCCTACTTGGCTGAGCAGTGATCCAAGTAAGATTGTTATCAGGTGGGAATATTTGTACAAGCAGAACTGCAGAAGCCTCAAAGCCAGTAATGCAATTGCAGTGCATGGTACATTGAAAGAAAACTCCTGACCTAGATCTAGCCTAGAGGAAGTAGTTAGGTAAATTGTGATTACAGATTTCATGAACTACACACTCTGAAAATTAAAGTTTGTCAATTCAGTCAATAATAGCTTTACTATTATAAAAAGCATAAATAAAAAGTGCTGAATATAGTTTTATCTTTAAAAAAATACTAGATAAGGCTCATTAATCATTTCGCCTCACCTCTGCAAAATGATTTCCACTTCCCAGCGTGCCTAGCACTCTGCTTCTCTTCCACTTACCAGTACAGTCATAGATCCACTATACCCTGTTCCTTTTCTCAATTATTGCATGTTTAAATAAAATAGTTTCAAAGCAAAAAATCCGACACTTCTCTAGTTCAAAAGTAAACAGTTATTAACTAACTGAAAACCCCACCTAGGAAACCCGTAAGCAGCTTCAAAACAGTGATAAAACAATTACTGCAGATTCAAGTGAAAGATAAATCCCAAAAGCTATCTGGATTTTCTCCAAGATACTACAAAATTCATCTATTTAGATCAAATCAAACCAACATTCTATTTTACAAAATTTACAAACCAAGTGTTAATTTATATGAACACATTTTGTCTGTGATTTGTATCATTAACCAAGAGTTTGCTTCTCTCTTATGGAAAAGTGCTCTCACCAGCATTTAATAAAATGAGACAGACTAGGGCAGCGCTCAGGATGGAAAAGACATTATTTAAACCATCAGAGGACACAGGTTAGGCAGAATTTGGAAATCAATACATTTCCCATTACCACTTTGGACCACATAAACAACGTAAGACAATCATGAAAAGTTCAACAGAGCTTCTCACTCCACTTCCAAGGAAATCCCACCTTAATCAGTAAATTAATTCCTCCACAATATTATGCTATAGGCTTAAGTTTAAACAGATAATGTCCATTCCTTTTAATGACCAATGCAGCAAGACTTTGAAAATGCTGAAGTTTAGATAGGATGATCATGAGACTGCACCACAAAGAACATAAATGTAAACATTATATTTAGGGTTGATATTTTTCAGTTAAAGTACAGTACAAACCCTTTTTCCCCCCCCAACTAGTTTTCTGTTGTGTTTTTTTCTTTTTCTTTCATAAAAGCACATACAATAAAATATGTACATAGAGGAGTTAGAAATATTTGAAAGCATCTTAAAAAAGTAAATACGAGACTTAGAATATCTTGAGTGTGCTGAAGGCACCATTGCTACTCTACTGGGAATGTGTCCTCTCCTTCAGGAGCCTACCAATGCAGTATCCCCCGTCCACATTCCTCAGCACCAAGAGCTGGAGGTGACTGGTGGAAGCTGAGGGTGTGCAGGGCCTAGTCTAGGATATGCTTCTCCTCAAGACAACAGCAGTACTAAACAATATAGTAGTAATTGAAGTCCAGATTCTTCTTGAACACTTGGAGAACTGGGTTTTTTCTTTTTACTTTATCGTGTCTAACGCTACCATTTATTCCAGGGAATCAAACAAAAATCCTAAGAAAAACCAAGCCATTGATGATTCCCTCCAACAGGAACTGCAGAGCTACAAACCAGCCCAGCTACAAAAACTGAGATCACTCTAATAACCAACTCAGTCCATGCTAATGCTCGTCCTTGCTGTTTGTATTTACCCAGTGATGACAGCCAAGGGTCAAACACTGCTCAAATGGGCATAAGATACATAAATATGTATATATTAAAATATAGATATACTTTTTTTTAAACTAGTTTCATCTATTAATAATAAACACTCTTTAGGGGTGTTTCTTCACAGTGTGTCACATTCACAAATAAGGAGAAAGTATTTTAAGTGTTGCCTTGATGGGGAACTGTTCTGGGCAAGACATATTTAAGCTAACAAAGAGGAGCTCTTGGGGCTTTAAAAAAAAATTTCTTAGAGCCTTCCTATGCATAGCAGTCTTAAATGGAATTGAATCTATGCCAAATTAAATATTTTAATGCCACTTTTCTGTTATGTATCTACATTCAGCCTACCATGTTATTGGTAAGTTATAGGTTACAATCAGATGCAGTTGGCAATACCAATCAGGAAGAATCCATTTTCACATTGCTCATTTGAAGGAAATTCACACAGGATTAGAACAATCAAGAGCCTAATTTCTTCCATTCCTATCTTGGTGGAGGGGAAGCAGCACTGTCACTCCCAGCCACCAGCAGATCAGACAGATACAGACTAGAACCACTGTGCATGTCTGAGAAGGTGACCACACTTGTTAGCCAAAAACTTAAATCCAAGCACAGAGAAGGGATACTGCCACTGTCCATTCCCGTGAGTCTTGTTAGATGTAGACACTCAAAATTCTTCTTCTTCAACAGCAAAATTATTTTGCTTCTTCCGAACATTCCAGTGTAAACACTCAGCCAAGCTCTCAAACCAGTCGCTCACGGGGTCTCGGAAACAGATGGAAGGAAGGGGGTAGCAAGAGGTAGTGATGCTAATACTGCAACAACACAGAATACCCCAGTCAGTCACGGGCAAGGAACACCAGCTTGTTTGGTTTTAAAGTGATCTATCCACTATAGGCAATAGCACTACAAAACCTAGCATCTAGCAAAGGGCCACATCTCTTGTTTGAATCCTTACTAGTCTCCTGATCTATAGATCTTCCAACCCCAGAGGCAATACAAACAGCTCAAGGTGGAGTGTCAAGCCAGCTACACATTCTCCTTCCTGGCAACTTGTACAGACTAAGAAAAAAAAATAGTCATCCTGAATAGCACCTCTACCAGTGACACATCACACAGTTGCCTTAAATCATCTCCCATTAGGATAAGCCACCACATTTTGCACAGAAAACCTGGAAACTTCACACACTGCATTCTGCTCACTCCAGGCAACAGCACTGTGAGCAACCACAGCCACTCACTGAGTGAGCACAGTTCAAACCTGAGCCACTGCTCACACACAACTCCTAAGACTTAATTTAAACTTACAGAATTTTCTAAAGATGTGTCCACCTTCCTTGCCAAGCATGCAATGTTTACATGCTTTTGTCTCAAGATTTCACTTGCTTTCATGGTAAGGTCTAAAAAACTGAAGGAATTAAGTATTTTCAGCACAGTTTGTGCTGTAAGAGATATCAGGGTTTTTAAAAGCACGTTCCTTCATTGCCAATAACCCTTTTGACAGATGTTAGAGAATGAGAGGACTGCCTGAATCTGTATTTTCTATACTTATAGAGAGATGCTACAATCAAAAAAAAAGGCTTGACCTGTCTCCATGGCATATTTCCTGCCTCTTCCTTCCATCAAATGAAACCCAGGCTGTATTCCTGGCATCTGGAGAGAGCATAATCTGAAAGAGAGAAAAGAACTAAATTTCAGGTCCAAAACCTATTTTTACAGAGCCAGGAACAAACAGCTCCTCCATCCTCCCTCCAAGTACAGAACTGACTCTTCATAGCTTTACAGTTGCACTGAAATTTGTAATCTGCCTGTAACAGTGCAGTAAAATACCACATGAGTTCCAAACATTCCTATTAAAGGAAAAGAATTGTTGACCAGCAACACCCAATGACATGAAAGTAACTGTGGGCTGAGAGCAGTGCCACGAATAAACATTCAATTTATGTTGTAGACCAGGAAGAAAACCCACAGTACACACTTATTTCTTAACGCTAAGCTTCTAAAATCCCTAGGAGAGCCCTTCTAAACATTCCAGCTCTCTTCCAGCTGGAGGCTTGTAACAGATACAAGCAGCAGAAAGGAGTTCTTCCTTACAAATGGGTATTTGTTAAAAGTACACATTAACTAAGTCCATTTTACACTCAGCTATTACATGCCTTTTTTTTTCCTGCAAGACAGTATTAACAAAGAATGAGTGAATTGTATATCACTACCAATATCCTAAAAATCTGCAATATTTGTTGTTTTAGCCATAAAAGTAAAATTTTTCATTCCCTTGAATAGTAGTGATTTATGTGCACTTGAGCTGAAATTATGTAAAACTTTATCAGTCAGAATGCAAATGTACATATTCCCATTTTGCAGAATGTTACACAACAGCAATTAAGTAGGAAACTGTAAAATACTCCACTACTGGGGACATTATTTTAAACAAAGATGCATTCTTGAACCAGAAGAATGGTCCTCCTACAAATGGAGGAATGCAGGAGACACACAGCATTTCCTAACCCCTTCTACTTGGGTCAGGTTCAGGTGGTTGTTACAGAAGATTTTAACTATGAAAGAGAAATAAGGTAACACAGCTAACCTTGAGTTCCACCCCAGCAGGAACAACAATAGGTCTGAACGACAAGGAGTGAGGGCAGATTGGGGTGATCATTATTGCAGGAACATTGGGATGAATCATAGAAGCTCCTGCTGCAGCTGCATACGCGGTGCTACCAGTCGGTGTGGAGACAATGACTCCTGGGAAAGGAGCAAAACTTTCACTTACATGAGCATTACAATCAATGGTGTGTTTCAGAAGAGGACTAAGGAACAGCACTGTGATGAAATTGAAGCAGAGAACGTATCAACTTGTATTTCACAGGAGAATCACAGTCTAATACACAAAAAGAAACTCTTCTAATCCTGGCAGAGCACTTTCATTCTATGGGTTCACCTAAGCTGCATAAACTAGATCTCAGGTTACACAACTCTCTAACAATGACACTCATTTTTTCTCAAGAGTACCAGCTTTAAAGATAAACCTCTGCATTTCATGAGTTGAGATCTTAGGCCTTTAGCAAACTTCAGATATCCAAGCAAATTTTTTTCTGAGCTGTTTCTTGCCCTGGGCTCCAACATATGTATCACACCCAAAACAACTGCCACTTGCCTTCTCAAGTCCATAAACAAAGCTTACAACACTTTAGTGCTTCATTGTGGAACATGTTAGTTACCAATTAATAAATATACCTGTTCTTTGCACATTAATGTGTTCTGTCACCAGTGAACTGAAGCTTGAGATTTTGTTTCTGTGTGAGAAAATCCTTCAGTAAAACAGCAACAGTCTCCACGTGAACTGATAAGCAATTTACCTCAAGAAGCAGACTCACCATCTCCTTGCACTGTTGTTATCAGGTGTCCATCTAGAAAGACATCTACGTTGGAAAGGTAAGAAGAAGGACCACGATCCACTACAACTTCATTTAGGACCTGCCAGGACATGAAATATTGCAGCAGGCTGCTATTGCTGACTTGGCAATGTAAGACATGACAAGCTGAAACACGCTTTCCAGATCTTGGAAAAATTCATGCTGATTTAGTACCAGCCACATTAAGACTCTTTACACTTCTGTCTTATCAAATGCCACCTTGAGTTTTTAAATATTAAGAATTACTTTCAGAAGCTGGTTACGAGCAATGTGCAGTTTTTCTTCTCACTTATGCAAATCTGGGATTTCCCATTTTAGAACTACTGTTTTGTTCTCAAAATAGAAGGAAATTATTACTGCAGGAGAGTACAACATTAGCACTGACAACTGCAGAAAGTAACGAGGTACACCACTGCCTCATTATTTAGTGCACAGGTGAATCAGAGCAATACCCATCTGCCCAGCACTGCTAGGCTAACGTAAGTGAACTAATGAAAAAGGGAAAGCCATAATAAAACAAGGACAAAGCAACTTACAAATAGCATGTTATTTTATTTACTCCTCTAACCTGATACTGCATGATTTGCTTGCCCATTTCTTTCTCTACAGCTGCAGACACCACGCCGTTTTCCTCTATGCCATTTTGGACTGTCAGCTTCTCCCTGTGCTCCTTGACCACTTTCACTTTCAGCCTGCTTCGGAGAACGAGCGCCGCGTTGCCTAGAGGTGGAATACAGGAGAAAGGACACAAAAATGATATGCTGCTGTAGCACATGAGCCCCTGCAAGGCCCAGCAAACTGCACAAAATGCCATCTGTCTATGCCTGTGCTTTCAACATGCCCAGTTTCATTCACACGATAATTGTCTGCATTTGCTTAAAGCTCAAAACTCGTTTTTAGCAGTAATGAGCAAAACTGAAGTCAAATTTTAACCCAGTCCTTCCTCCCTTTCCTCAGAGTATAAAAAGAAAATTTAAGGCTTTACATGGACATGATCAAGACTGGAAAACACTGTCAGGCTCATTTGATCTTCACTAAGACACAAGCTAAGCCTGAATCAGTGCATTAGAAACACCTATTGAAAGAGAACATCTAGCAATGTGAGAATTTTACATATCTTTTCAAGGATCTAGTTTGGATGCAGTTCAAATAACCTCAATATTGAAGGAAAAGTATTTCTTTCCTCAAATAATTTATTTTCCTGATTGCTCAGTATTTAAGCTCTACAATGCTTAGACAAACAACTACCACAGACTTCAGGGCTACAGTCTACTTGTATTTTATCTGTCATTTAACATAAATTCTGCATCATCTTTTTTGTGTTTATTCCACACAGGAAAAAGTTATTTCTTAGCCATTTTCCCTTGCAGAGCAGTACAGAAAGCAGCACTGGATGGGTCAATGCAATGCAATACTTTTGTTAGTTCAGCATATGCTTCTTGCCACTTAGAGTTTTATGGGACAACCTAAACGAGCTGGTTAAGTAAACATACTGGTCTTGGAAAAAGCTACAGAAAAAGTAACAAAAAGATACACCACACCTTGTTCCCTTAAATTTACCTTCTATAACCTGAGTGACTTGGGACTGAAAATTCTCAAAATTAAATGGAGTAAGAAATCCAAGGGATCCCAGATGAAAAGCCATAACTGGAGGTACACTACCCTATCAATAAAGAAAAGAATTTAAAAGCTACTGAATAAAAGCAATTCATACTTCAACTAATTGCCTGCAAATATTTTGACTATTGATGTAACTTCAACTGTGCATAATGAAAACAATACATTACATACACTGTTTTCAGAATGTATATGGTAAAACAGGCTTGATAAAAAAAAAGAAACGAGCAACAAAGGACAAATGCTGTCCTCAATAACAAAGGAAAAAGACCAACCCAACAACCTTCAAATACTTCAAAAAGAAAAGAGGTCTTTGAGTCTATTGCTCATGGAGACTAACCTGGAAAAGGGAAGAAGCATAAAGTAAGGTCCCATCTCCTCCCAGGCATATGATAAAGTCTATCTGATTGGAGATATCATCATAATCTAGAAGGATATTGAAAAAGAAGATTTGAATTAAATTTTATCAACAATTTCCTAACATAAATCACGTGCAGCATGCCAGCATTTGCTCACAAATGCCAAAAAACCCAACTCAGATGTAACAACAGCTGTTTGCAAAGGACACAATAGCTTTACCAACTTGACCAAGGACTAATGCACTATCAAGACAAATAAGCAATACACTTCAACATGGCTTTCAAGAAATCGTCACCATACCTTCTCTGAAGGTGCAAAATTTTTTCTTCACTGGTCCAAAATTATCATCATTAGCTATAGCAGGGTCTTCCAACACTTTTTTTTCTACATACACTATCATGTTGTTCTCCTTAAGAGAAGAAAGATAAGCTGGTTAATAACCTTTTAAAATGACAAAATATTTGACTCTCACCAGAGTTTACGTTAAACATGTAAGTAACATTTTACAGAAATGGTCTCCATCTGTTGGGTGTAGGGTTTATTTTTAATATGTGGTCTAATTCTAATGAGAATATTACAGCATGCACTGACAATCTAATTAATTGAAGTTAACTTTGGAATATAGATTATATGACAAAGGAACATTGCTCTTTGCTGGAGACTCTTAGTTTTTTATATCCCACTCCCTGTAACTCAGGATTGCAGACAGAACAAAGCAAAAGTTTTAACTTTACTCTTTTTAAGCTCCATACTTAAAAGTACTTCAGTACTGATCTTTAGCTCTGAAACAAGTTTTAGACTTGCAATGGCAGTGGGTAAAATGATTTGTTTGCACTATACAATTCTGCACATATCTCATTCAGCAGAGTCTGTAAATGAAAACAGTTCAGATGTAAAATTTTTAGTTATGCTAAAAACAGAACTGACATTTCATTACCTCAGTAAGATACACACAAAGCTCTTTAAAAGGCTGCAGCAGACTGGCATCACGGATCTTCTTAATAACCAGGACACTCTTGGGAGGTTTGTTCCATGTCAACCGCTGGCTTGCTGGATCCTGAATGTGCCTACACAACAGATAAAGACAATTTTACTGTATTCTGCTTTGACAACACTCTGCTCTGTTAAGAATATATCCTTCATTATAATTGCATGCAGTCCTAGAACAGAAAGATGCAACAGTTCAAAGGAATCAGAAAAAGCTACAGCATAAACTTTTTTCCCATCCAATACCATACATCAAATTCAGTCAATGAAAATGTAAAAAACTGCAATAGTTCCAACCCAAATATTCATTGCAGCAATGGTCCCTTCAGCACTTTTTCACTGACACCAGCACACAGTTTTCTCAATACAGTTTGAAGCCTGTAAATGCAGACACAAATTCTACAGTTTTTTTCACTAATGCTAAAAAACATTACCACAAGAGAAAGGCAAATAATTAAGATTCACACAGCCAACCATACTAAATCCTCAAGATCAGCCTTAACAACTAGAAAAAACCCTACAGAATGAACTCTCCCCTGGGAAGGGTGCATTTGTATCTCTTACGCTTCCTCTTGTAAAGTCTGAGAAAGGCTTAAAGAGGAACGGCCGCCTGCATACGGCCAGTCCAGGCCAACATCACAGAAATAGCACAAGTGCTACTGCACTTTAAAAATAAAATAAACTTAACTTTAAAAAGTATTTTTAAACTACTGTCTGCCTACTGTCAGGAGAGCACTGTAAGATTTGAGAACCTCAAGAACTAAATATAAGTAAACAGTGTTGTGGCTTTCCAGAGGGTTCAGTACCAGAACACTCCAGTTGCTCTCTAATCTATTTAGCTGATTTAGGAATACCCAGCTGTATTTTTCTTCTTTCTTTATATCCACTTCTGAGCTACATGATTTCACTGCTGCACCTCACGTATTACAAGCATCCCATCCTTTTCCATATGGTGCAGCTATAATCCATAAAGCAAAGCAGATTAGAATAAATGCTGAACAAGCCAAATTCACAGAGATTTGGATTTTGCACTTCAAGAGTTAAAATAAAACAGATGATGCTGCTGGAGGTGGAATAATCTGCTCATTTTCCTTTCCAAAATACCTGTATTCTACACAGAACTACAGCAGAAACTACAGGTTAATGAAGCAGTCTAACATACATAACCACTACTAACACACACGACTATGAATTTGGAAAGTGGAAAGCTCCCTCTCACTTCATTAACCAAACAGCTAAACTGAAAATAAAGTAAAATAAACCAGGAAGAGTTGCACTAAGGTGTTTGCTGCTGCCAAACAGTCTAAAGGAACTGAAGCTGCAGTTTTAGATGCTATTTCCAATCCAAGTGGTGACTAAAGAGCGTTTTCTATACTAAAGTTCATTTTATAAAATTAACTTTTTCCAGTCTCAATACTGTTAAAAGGTAAAAAAATACATAGATAAACCACTCACAAAGCCATTTCAAAACCATTTCTAAAGCTGGCAAAGGATGCAGCACTGCTTTTCACTTAATAAACCCAGAACTAATACAGACTTCACTCAAAGGAGACAGGCTGCCTATTTCAGCTGTACTCACCAACTCCACGTAGGTCTATTAAATGAAAGATTATTCATAACATGCTTTAAGATTTTCATGTTTCTTTCCAGCAGTCAGGCAAATGTAACAGCTCAAAAAAAATCACTTATTAATAAACTGCTACCTCAAAAGAAAACATTTTTCCCTGAATTTTTTCCCAGTTAAATATTTCAATCAGTCCTTATAAAAAACTGAGAGGCTTTACAGAAAAACCCTGTGCAAGATGTTTATGACAGATCTTCAGAGGTCAGATTTCATAAGAAAGATCATATTTCAAGAAAGAGTTTAAAAACAGGTATTTGACCTCCCTCCTCCTCAAATCAAACACCTGATCTTTTCTTCCCCAGAGCAGTCCCTGAATTCAGCCAGTCCTCTTACGTAACAGTCCTCCTGAGGCAGGTCTTTTAACACAATCCTCAATGCCAAGACCTCCACCAGCCAATGCCTGGACATAAAACTTAAAATGCTGTGTTAAAAAATCCTCTTCAGTGAAGAAAGCTTCTTAATTTCTTCTCTACTAACCGTGGAGAAGGAAAACCCCAACAAAAAGGATATGCCTGTTTCGGAAGCTGCAACAAAAGCCTCATGCATCTTAAGAAGAACTCATCTATAATCTTGTCTTCAAATAGTCCTTCCCTGCCAGCCCCTGAGAGCCCCCTCTCCTGCCCAGCTCTCCTGCACCCTGCTCCCTGTTCCTGCACCCAGCATTGCCTGCAGCCTCTGGGCTGAACCTGTCTTGACACCACGGTTATATTGTGCCCTGCTGGCCCGGCCCACGGGGAGGAGCACCTTCAGTCAGGTGGCAGGCACACCATCCAGGCTGGGCTTTCAGGGGAACTGCAGCCCTTCCAGCCATCAACTTTAGAACAGATAGAAGGAAAGAATGAGGAAGCTAGGAGTTACTGTACCACTGCAAGACTTCCACCACACCCTCGCAGGAAATGTTAGGATACTATCAACCTGTTCTGAGGAGGACTAGTGCTATTTAGTTAAAGATTTATGTAAACAAATACTTAAGTACCATACTTTTAACAGAAACAACCACGACATAAAAATTTTTAAAGGGTCAAAAATAGGGACCACTAACTTGGTTGATCTGTAGAACCCTGACATTCCTCATTTCACCAGGGCAAGACATCATTCATTAAGTAATACCTGGTGTAAAAAAAAACACTTTTATACCACCTAACCTACACAATTAGTGTTTCTATGGGTGCAAAGCAGAAACCAGCTACTGAGCAGATGCTTAAAGCTCCCTTCCCAGCCCAAAACATTCTATGACTCTTATTTTCACATTAAACTTATCAGGAGTCTAAAAGTAAACTTGCCTTAATGATATTTATATGCTGCAAGTGTCATAGATCAACACAAAAATTCAAACTATGAGCTCAGACATGTAGTACCAAGAGAGGAACATGCTCTCCTCAGATTTCACAGTACATAGAACAATTTCTCCTCCTTTCCTTGTGTGGTCCATAAAGTTTTGCTCATTCAGAAACACTGCTCTTTACATATTTCAAGTGGATGGACTAAACAAAATGCTACCAATAGCTTCTCCAGTCTGCTATAGGTGGTGTTTACTGTCAATTATGTTGGAAAGTGCTTATTACAGTTGCCATTGTTGACATCAAACTATGGATTTAAATTATGAAAAACATGTCTAAACAAAACTTCACTACTTAAATTATTCATGTGCCCTGCCACATTTTTATGTGAAATAGTTACTTTTTTTTTTTCTGAAATAGATATATTGAAGTGTGAAAAAAATCCCATTAGTTTAGGTAGTAGATAGTGGGCCTAAGAACACCACATTAATAATGTAAAACCAGTAAAATTCATTTCCTCTTCTGCCTGTGAGCCTGCAGGAAGTATTCCAACAAGCAAACCCACTGTAAATCCATCTACAGAAATACTGATTATGTTCGACCGTCCCTTGAGAGAAAAAATCCCAATGACATTCAAACCCATATTATACTTTTCAACATGCAGGTGAAGCTAATGGATGTCTAAGGAGGTTTTCCTTAAGAAGACAGTTCAGCAGTGCTACCCATTCTCCTCTCAGACTGACACCTTAAATGGTCAATGTCTGATAAAAATGCCTTTTTTTTAGCCAATTTTGGCTAGGCAGACCCCAAGCTGGCAATCAAGCAATGTGAAAATCTCTAAATACCAGGTAAAATACAAACAGTGGTGATGAGGGGGTGAATAGTGGAAAATCAAGCTTTTTCCTTTCACACAGAATAAGCATAACACCATTAACTTGACAAGTACTTACATAATCGTTTTAGGATTTTGCAGCATACAGGCCTTTGGTCCAAATGTGGTCACTGGGCATGGTCCATGCAAGGAGCGTGTCCTCCTAAATAAATACATAGAAAAAACTGATCAGGAAGTCAAAGAAATGTGATGACAAACTAGGTGTAACTAGCTACACAAGTCCCAAAAGTGTTTCTTTGAAAAAGCTGCACTAAGCAACACAGGGCAAAGTACATTTTTTTTAAGCCTACATTTGTGGTTGACCAGCCAAGGTAATTTTACAGATATTAGCTCTCATGTTTCAAATCTAAAACTGAACTCCTGTACCTACACCCTGAAAGTGATTTTAATAGAAGCCTCACTCACAGTTTATCCCCTCTACATACTGAGTAATCACTTCCTAAACATTAGTACCAGGGACATACTCTTCTTCTGTTCATTTCATCTTCACGTTGTGCAGGGGAGGCATCACAGCCTCACAATATGGTCAGGTTTTCTCAGGTTGGTTCTGTGACTTCCTGTCAAGCCTGCAAAGACTTTATTTAATCTCACCTCTTCTGGACACTACAGTACAGAACAGTACCACGTGTCTCTCAGAGAGACCCAAAAAATGTGGAGGTAAATCCCAAATTATAAAAACATAATACAAGCAAATTATCCAGTGAGAGACTTGTGGCTACATTCAAAAGCAACTCAAAGTACCTCTAACAACAGCAGCTGAGCAAAAGAGCAGCAGCGTTCAGTTTGTGTTATGCAATTCAGTAGTCTCACAACTTTCACTTAATGAGCATGCCTAATAAATTAATTAAAACACAAAACGTAAGCCAGGGCTTTTGTTTATATAGCATAAGCACTTTCTCTTCCCCAGTGTTTTGGCATGCATTAATTTCTGTTGGCAGGGAGCAAGCAAACCACTAAGCACACAAACCAAACCTGTCAGCCTAAAACTTGTTTTCAGGCAATGTTCTCAGCAAACAAACAGCCCTGACTGTTGGTTGGGTCCTCAGAGTGTGCACAGGAGGAGTCTGCACCAGTTCCCCAGTGGCAGCAGCTTCACTGCCACACACACACACACACACCAGCCACAACCATTTTTTTCCCCCCTGTATTTCTTGAAGCACTACATCTTAGATAAGAGCACACACTCTCAGAACAGGACAGGCAGAATGGTTAAATCTGATGTGAATAGACATAAAATAGTTTAATGAATGCTCTTCTCAATAAGGTACAGTAACATACATAAATTAGGTTTCCCCATGTCAGTCTCAACAAGCATTTACAATGAAATCTCCAACATCAAGTAAACACCTTCAGATTTTTTTTTTCCCCCATGGTCATGCCACAGTAATGGTGTCCTGATCACTTAAACACTTTTGTTGTTTAAATCTTTGCACTTAATATATTAATAAAGTGCAAATCCTTCAATTCTAAGGTATATGGAGATATTTATCTGTAGTACCAGGCCTTAGTTTGGAATAGGTAGAAAAAAAAAGCATTTTTTTTTTGTTTATCTAATAAGAGCTAATATGATCTTTGTCTTCAAATAAATAGGATCTCTGAAATGTCATTTATTCTCAAATTTAAATCCCACCCAGAGCACAGGATTACTCCTGGCTCCAGGATGAGATGATCTGCAGCAAGTCAGAATTGTTGTGCCTTGCTTCCCTCCCACCTCACTCAGCAAATCTGTACGTGGGGGCAACACTTACCCCAGTCATGTCACTGGTGAAACATGAGGTAAATGCCAGCAGAATTATCCCATTAAAAGGAAGGGGAAAACATGCCTTTCCTGTGCCTAATTCAGTTATCACAGGAACTGGTAACTAACCTATTGCTTCTGAGCAAGAAATCATTACTGCTCTGCCTTCTATTGTGTGTATTATAAAGTAGCTCAGACCAGCCTGATGACTCACTCTTTGTGCTAAAAAAATCCCTTAGAAATCTAATAAAAATCAAAACCAGATGACAGGTTAAAAAGACATAATTAAGGAATAACTGCCACATCTGATTTGTTCCATACCTAATAAAGTGTATGTAAGATTTGAATCCCAATACTGAAAATAAGCATTTAATTTCCTATATCGAACACACAGAAGTGATATTTATTTTTCAAACCTTTTTTTCCATTTATACATCCAGGCATAAGTAATGCAGCCAGATAAGATTATTACTAAGTGTTTTATAAAGTTTACCTTATTTCTATTAAAGCAGGAAAAGGAGCAAGGACTGACATCATTAGAGATGAATATGTGTACTAACACATGTAAAGGAACAGTGGGTATTTATCTGCTTTAGAACAATCACACTTTAAACTGGAATAAACAACAGCCTGGCAATATCACCTCCCACTTCTTGCTCTCTCAAACTTCTCCCAAATAACTGTCTTTTTTGTCTTCTTCCAACACAGGTCGTTATTGTGTGCCACTCCCAGTAATGGGCTAAACTCTATTCCTACAAGAGACATTAAATATCCACTTCTGGCCTTCCTAACATTCAAAGTTTTCTCTCCAAGCTCTATTTAGTTGTTAGTACACATTTTGGTTGAGTTTTTACTTGGCTTTTTTAGTACTCAATCTACGTGTGAGTGAACAGAATTTGAAGCTGTTTGCAGTCAGACTGTCTTTGCTAAGAGTGAGCAGCAGTGCCCTGGAAATGACACGTCTTTTAGGCAAATACACTTCTCAGTTGAAAGCAGACAGGCAGCTCTTCAGTCTGAGTGCTACACAAGGAGCCTCACAGCACTTTCTGACACCCTGCAAAACGCCCTGTGGCAATTTTATACTAAATTGACAACCACCAGTGGATGAATGCAGAGCATCTTAATGAAAAAAACACCTCCAATAGCCCTGATTCAAACCCAAAATGGGTAGGGTCTACCAAAATCACTCCTATATAAAACGAAAAAGTAGTTATTTAGCTAAATGATAACAATACACAAAAAAAATTAGGCTAGATTGCAGAGGTTGACTGTAGTCTTTATTCTTAAAGGTTTAAGCAGAGAAGGGAAAAAACACCAGTCTAACAGCACACTTTTAACACAGTCTTACTTACTGGCTAACACACAACCTAGTAGCTGGAACAGCAGTCAGAGCAGTCCTTTGTGAACACTTCCCAAAAGCATTAAAGTACTCTGACTTTCTGACAAAACAAGTATTTTCCTAATCTTTTATGCTCTTCAGATAAAGGCTTTCATTACGCTTCCCTTCACCATAAAGCTTCCCCCTGCCACCTTCAGCCTCACCCATGTAAGCTCTGCCATGCAAGAGCATTCCTACCAGCAAAGCAGAACTCTGGACAAGAATTTCATCTGCTGAGCAACTCCTCCATGCTCCTGCCCGTGCTTTTGGTCCCAAGGCAAGGTGAAGCTCTGCCACGCTTCCCACAGGACCACGACACGGGGCTGCCACAGTGTACTATTCAATATTTACAACAGGTTCAAAGATCACCAAATCAGAAGTCCTATGCAAGCTGTTCACATGACACGAGCCTTGCAACTAGATTAGAAATTTGGCTCAAGGCAAAACCAGGCATTTCTCACTGCAGTGGAACAATCTGCAAGCACCAACTTACTTGTGCTGCCTCACATTTTACCATATAACTTAAATACACAGGTTTTTAAGACACAGCACTAGAGCCCTAACAGCCCTTGCAACCAGCCAGGACCCGTTCACATGAACATCTCTTTAGATGACCACTTACATCACCCACAGCACAGAACACAATAGGATGGTTCACTAATCATCTCCCTCTTTATTACCACAAAACACTGGGTTTATTTCTGTTCGCTATTGCTCATCAAAATTACAAGGCTGGTCATACAGAAAGGGAAGTGAAAATGAAAATCTAGATAACTCAGTTATTTTGAAAATATCTTTTTTATTTTTCTGAAAGATGGCCACAGCAGGAAGAGCCAAGAGCCATACCGGAATTCTTTGGTGCTTCCTAGGGCTGGTGAAGCAGACAGACTGCGTGACTTGGCTCGTCCCCTGCTCGTGCTGCTCCACTCCTCATCGTCGTGGCACGCTGAGCAGTGAAAAGCAGCATCTGAGCTCCCATCAGCCTTACTGCTACACAGTTTCTCTCGATTCATCTCCATACTGGAAGTGAAGGAACCTCAGTGAGAGAGAAATTCAGTTCCTGTGGAAAAACACCAGGAGAAAGGGGATAGGGAGGAGAGAGAAGAATCTCAGTATTAGCACAGCTAATAGACTAAGTATTAAACACTGAGTCGACACACTTTGATAAACAGTTCTTGGAAGGACCTGGGCAACTGAGAAGTTCTTCAAGGTTATCAGAAGACATGGGAAGGAAAAATGACCAGAATTAAAATGTGTATGTTCCCAGATTCAGAAGAGGCACAATATAAAGTTGTTTCAAGACCAGCACAGACTCACATCTCCAGTTATATATGGGGTCAAATAAAATTATTTTACATACTGAATAAGAAGAAAAGCTTTAAACATTTTCCAAGGAATAAAGACTGAGTAAAACCTATAAAGTCTCCTATTAGGTGATACATCTGTTGAACAAATAAAACTAGAAGAATCTGAACTATAACAGAAGAAAAAACAGTTAAAGTGAGCAAAAAAATAATCCAATAAACATAACCTTAGTAAAATTTCAGTTCTTCACAAAAGTTAGATTAATATCAAGCTCAGAAAGAGCTAAAAACAAAGTGGAGGGACGATACCAAAGTTCTTAAATCATTTTTGACAGACTAGGGAGATCATCCAAAACAAACAAAATGAAATAAGGACAAATGTGAAGTATTTCACTTCCACAAATAATCAGCACAAATATAAGAAACATCTGGCTAGACAGCAATTTTGCAGAAGTAAAAAAAAAAAACCTAAACAAACCCCAAACTTTAAATAACCATTCTCCCCAAAAAGTACCAGAAATCCCCTAATTTCTCATCATTACTTGAGCCAAATAGAAGATGCTTTTATAGAATATAAACAGAAAGCAAATTTCAGTGTATGAAAAAAACCTGCACTACAAACAAACAGGATCTCAGATCGGGCAGCCCAGAGGAGCAGCACATTCCTGAAGTCAGTTTCAACAGGGGAAAAACACCGGTTCATTAACAACGTGCAGATGTTTTTAAAGCAGTCTCATTATCTGGGATGTGCTTCCCACTGCACACAGCAGAGAACGGGCCATCACATTACTGCAGCCGTTAAAACACACTGTGCCTCTGGAAAATACTCACAGAATCACGATTTTTGGCTGCAAAGTTACCAGAGGACGACAATCTCCACAATTTTACCAGGACTACGTTTTGCAGCATCCCAGCTTTTAGGTAACAAAAGCGTTGATAAAATGAAGCTGTCATTTTAGACTGGGCACTGGCTCATCATTAAATTACAGCTCCCACCAAATCAAATTAGAAAATGCCTTTGCTCCAGCTTACCCTAAGAAAACATCGCTACCAAGAGGCACAATTACTGTCATCCATTAATAATTGATCAGATCCTGGACTTTTAAAGGTATCAACGTTCAGTTGCTGGTTACTCATTGCTTCCTATCACCTGTGACCATGACTCGGGCAACAGTCACATCCCAACACACCCACAGCCTGCGCTGCCAAACGGGCACACGCGGATCTGACAAGCCCAGGCAGTTAACTGTACATCATTTTCCTCTGCTTTCCCACTACACGGCTCATCAACTCCTCACTCCTCTTAATCCACGACCCAAACACTGAAAGCTTCACCTGGGCCTAGGAAAATTAAAATTACAACAATTCTTAACAATGTGTATGGAAATGCGACACCTCTGGAAGCAGTTTATGGAGAGTTAGTTTTCTCAGCAACTCAACAGTTGAAGCATCCTGTTGCACAGCATCACCCTGACAAAAAGGTGCAGGGAATAATAATTTCTACAGTAAGTAATAAATAAGGTGTGGTTTTGAGTGACTTTTTTTGAAGTGCCTTCATCTGACAGGTGCTGCCAGTGAAGAAAATCAGATTAGCACAAAACTGGATGTAAGGCGGTGTGCAGACCTGCTAAATACAGCCTAAGAACTTCCTATTCCCTCCATGTAATGCTTGCCAATTCAGGATGTTTCAACTACAGCTTAGACCCTGTGCTGTTTAATTAACATTCCCTCACAAGACCTTTATTAAATAAGCAGACTTGACATAAGGACAAAACTATCACTACACAGGTTCCAGGATGGGATCCAAAAACTTCCAGCACATGCCAACAAACACGTGAAAGGGCTGCTCTGCTCTAAGTCATGCCCACAAATTTGAAAGTTTTCATGTGCAGTCATAGCCGTGTGTACCCAACCTTGTGCTGCAGTCTCCCCTCTTTAAATACTGTCATTACAAATGAGCTCTCCCAGGAACCAGAACTTCACAGAGATTTCAACAAGCCATCTTTATGTAGGACACAACACCCTAGCACCACCAGAGCTTTACTTTAGAGTGCAATATCGTGACGGACTCGCACTCCAGGACTGCAGGAGTCCTAGTGACAGAGGAAGCCTGGAACGATTGTGCTAAGCTGTCACATGTAGGTGCTCCACATCCCGGTGCAGGCTCGCATCTCAAGAAACCCCCTTCTCCACTGTTTGACCCGCTGCATAGGACACAAAGAAAACCCATCTTCTGACGCAAGCAGCTCCACACCAAGCATAAGGCTGCAAATCATCAGCCTTAATGTTTGGGTTTTTTTAATGAGCGTGCTTGTAAACTGCAATTTTGTAACAAACTTCCTGTCAAATGCCTTGCCCTACATCATTATGCTTAGAGGATTACTGCAGGGTCCATCCTAACCAAATACACTACCTTAAACCTGCCTTCAAGACTGCAGCACTTCTAATGTCTCAGAAATTACATCAGCCGTTCAAAACTCCTCATTTTGTCCCTTAATATCCACCTCGTATTAGAGTGTAAGAGAACAATGTTATATCCAAAAAAACAGTACCACTTGCCCCCCTTGTTACAGAACCCTTTTGCTTAATCACTTCATTCTACAGAGAGCACTTTTTATTAAGATATTTTGCTGAAGGAAGCACTCCACCAGAGGTTACATGCATACAGCTCCATCCCGAAGGCACTAAGCCTCCTCTCATCCAAAAAATTAGGAACACCTATATTGAGTAGACAAAAGTTTCTTTTCGGTTTAGTTTAGAACTTCATATTCTAGTGCGCACAAAAAAGAAGAACCCAAAATAATATCCCACATTGAAATTTAGCGGTGTGACAGCACTTGAAATTTAGCAGCATGCTTTTTGGTTACATGCCTAAGTGCTACTTCTACTAAAACCAGATAATATGACTATCACGTGTTAAATATCCAGGAAAAACAACTCCTTTCGTTAACCCTTCCGCTTCGGACACGGCCACACGCTCCCCTACGGCACCCCGGACCAGGCATCGATAACCTCAGACACATCCCCGTGCCTGCAGACAGAAACGGCGACGGCAACACCAACCGACCACCGGCAAGGGCGGCGGCGGACCGCGCAGAGCCGGCGTGTGAGCGGGGATCGTACACGGGGGCCAGGTTCGGCGGCTCCCCCGGTCACCCCTCGGGACACCATCCCGCCTCGGGGCTCCTTACCGCTCGCGTTACCGGAGCGCACCGACCGTGCGAGAAGGAGGAGAAAGCGTCCTGCCTTTGGGAACCCCGCGCGGGGACGCTCAGCTCTCCGGCCCG